ATATATATATATATATATATATATATATATATATATATATATATATATATATATAAATAAAAAAAATTAAAAACCAGCTCAGTGTACAGTTTATATAAAGGAATTTTCCTTTTTGATTTCTCACAGGTGTTTTATTTTTAATACATTTTATTAAATTATACGTTGCATTGTGTTTTAGCATACACTAAAAAAACTGGTGTAGAAACAATTTTCACTGATAAAATGTTAGTAAACAACAATGAATTAAAAAGAAACAGCGAGTGACATAATGAGTGACGTATTTTTATACGTCAGTGTATGGGTAATTTTCTGCCAGGACATTATCCTGCATATATTTTCAAATTTTTCAACCAACCTTTTTCTTAAAGTGTAGATTAAACGATATAGGCCAACATTTTGTTTCTAAAATAAGGTCTTCAATGTTGTACCAATCGTATTCAAAGGTAAACTACAGTCATCCACAGATTGTGTGCATTACAAGCCATGTTTTTATTTTGTCAGTTTCTATTGGTCGTATCATATGTTCTTTAAAAATATGTTTGGCAAAAATTGGCTGAGAGGTAGCACATGGAAGCACTATCCCAACTAACAAAAATGTATTCTAAGAATGTTTTGCTAATGCTCCAATTAAGTTCTCTGAACACTCAAAAAAAAAATTTTCATGCATTAAAATCAATCAGAATTTCAGAGGAAATTAACGGAATGTTCCATTTTTTTTATTATTATTTTGTAAACATAGGAACATTAATTTGGAATCTTCTCAAAACAAGTAGTAAATGGTAACATTTAAAAAAACATTAGATGAATGACCAACTAAATGGGTTCAGAAAAAAAAAAGTTTTATGAATGACGTTTTTGTGCTAACATTTTGAGAACATTATTCAAGACCCGCTAACTGTGAACAAAGGTTCTATTAATGTTACTGGAAGACATTTTTCAATTACTTTGATTGCGGCACCTCTATAGCAACCTAGCGATTTTTTTACATTTTATTTTTTAACAGTGTGGTCGAAGAACAGCAAGCCGGTTCACACCACTATCCTGAACCCTCATATCCACCTGATCGGCGAGGAGGCTGCCTGCATCGCCTACATTCGTATCACGCAGTATCTCGACACAAACGGAATGCCATGCACTGCCCAGTCAGAGGAGACACGGATCTGGCATCGTAAAGACGGCAAGTGGCAGATAGTCCACTTCCATCGCTCAGGCTCTCCGTCTGCCATCACTAAATAAGAGAGTCAGGTAACAAATCTAAAACTGAATTATTATTGTTTATTATTATACGTGAATTTGATGATTGCAGAGGCAGATTCAACAATCAATAAATGTAAATACAGAGTTCTGGCATGAAACTCTAGATGGCGCAGTCCGATAGGTCTAACTCAATCTGACCTAATGACATCATTATCACATGGCACTGCTGATTGGTTCTCTCCTGTATCGGTAGCCAATGAGCTCGCTGCTCAACATTCAAATATATGATTAGTGCTATATGAGCAGTTGCAGCTTGCTTCAGAAACCCTCCACCTTCCCCAGCTCCACCTGTATAGATCTGCTACGAGGTGATTCATGTATGCTATATGGGGGTTATTTCATGTATGTTATATTTGCAGCAGCAATATTTCTTACATGCTCACAGCAGCATGTTGTGGATGTATTGGCAGTAGCAAGTCTCGGTACTCCGAGAGTTGTCATGACAGAACCATATTTCTTAAAATGTTATACTATTTTACATTAAAAAATAACATTAAGACTACAGCTTTTTGTAATTGCTGGGACAAAAATTGATTGTTTTTTTTTTCAATACTTTTGTCACTTTTTTCTAAACTCTTCACAGTGTTGGCTAAACTGTGGATAATTTTTCATGTAGTACAAAATCCATTACATGACTAGGCTACATTGGTCCATGTACGTTGCGTTCATTCGTTTTTTGATTAATTATTGAAAACAGAAACATGAGAAAATGTCAGCTTTTTAGTAAAAAAAAAAACAAGAATTCGTCTCGATTTTTTCGTTTTTACACCCAGGGGTAGAAGTGGATAAATAGCTTGGATTTTTGATTTCCATGTGTTCTGGAACTTTCCACTGATTGATCTTTAGACTTGCTCTGTAACATTTTGCATACTGACCTTACTTTCTTTTTCCATCTTAGTTGAAAATACCAGAGTTGCAGGATCACTGGCTTGAGGATGTACAAGCTCCCAGCTTCTCATCTCATTCCTTGAACTTCATTGGCCCTCTGCTTTACGGCGTCATCACATTCACATCAGCATTTATTCTCATTGCTCAGAACACTTCTTTATGGATAAACTATGATGAAGCCGCTGTTGCAACCCTGCTGCGTGGTATCAATGCTTTTGTTTTTAACATCTTGATTATGTTTACAAAATTAGCCACCATGTTTTTGACCATAAGTGCTACATTTGCAGATATTTGACACAAATGAGATATTTGGGACAACGGCTACATTCCAAAAGAGATCCTGTTTCCTAGGGGTTTCCACGGATACCTAGATTTTTTTCTCTCCCAACGGTTAGACATTAACTAGTCTTTTAATCTCTCTTATACACCTGTAATAAACTCGAATGTAATCTGATTGAAATGGATGTTTATATTATATTTGAAATAAAGTAGAACTGCTAGGTACGAATATAGTAATGACTTACACAGCTTGTCCTCCACTGCCCGATTTCCAGACAATCGCCATTGAACATTTTCTACCGAGTTTAGTGAAGCACATTGAACAGCAGTGAATTTCAGTATACGTTTAGCCCTTGAAATCAAAGCTGCATCTATGGCACAAAAAACACACACACAATCTATTGAACCCACATGATCCGCAATGCTAGAACAGATGGATCAAGGGGGCTGAGCAACCCACTCAACGAACTGTTGCTTAAAGTTAAAGCCGGTGCTGATGGTGGCAGTGGAACAGTAAATGCATGCGAGAGCTTGATATTTCTTTCTGCCGTACAGGGTTTTGAGATCCGGGTCTGGTGTGGTGTGCTCAGAGCACTTTGATAAAGTTCTTCCAGTAGAGCTGGTGTATTTGTTCTTCCTTTTGTATTTAGGATTCAGGGATTTTTTCTTTTTGTTGCAAAAGGAAGTCTCTTGAAAAAGCTCTTGAGGGTGTGTTTGATGTCTGGGCTTAACTTCTATTCAAATTCAATGGAAGCGTGTTGCTGGAGAGAGAGCTTTCAATAATCAGTGTTGACGTGTTTATCTACTGATGTCTTTTTAAGATGCTCTATTTGCTTGATCAGTCTTACTGTGACGGTCAACCAATGTACATTCATATTAACGCGAACAATCAAAGTTATTCAAACGAGAAAGTGGACACTGCTAACTCTATATAGTGATGCTCAAAAAGACCTAGCATTTGAACTTGTTGATATTGTATTCAGACTATTGCTGGTGAATATCTGTTATCTGCAGAGTGACTGCTATTCAGATCCATCTCTGTCTTATCTAAACATTTGTAAGGTATATTAAAATGTTTTTTGCATCTTATATAATGCGTGTTCAGATTTACTAAACCAGTTACATTTTTATTAGTAAAACGGTATGAGCTTAGTCGGATTTGTCAAATATTGCTTCTTGATTCTTAGTATTTACTTTGTAAAGCAAGAATGTTAACGTGATGATTGTATGCACGATTTTTTGCTTATCAAACATTTTGCCATGGCTGTATAAAAGCTGCTCTTCATCCGGTTGGGTCGTGTGATCACTGCCGTCAACAGACAACCAACTGTAAACTTTGCTATTCTTTTTCTGGTTCTATTTCAACACTTTCAGGCTACTTGTGGCACATTTGACAAAGATCCGTTCTTAATATTGAATTAATATTCAATTGTCATTATACAGAACCAAAGTTTTCCTCTTCTTTTTCCTCATTATTTATCTCCTTAGAAAGACATTTAGAATTGAAAGAAATCAAATGCATGGAAACTTTTTCTATGTCTTCTCGTAACGTGGTTCATTGTAAACGGCTACTGAAAGTGAGTTGCTTTGTGGCCTCTTTGATGTTTTTGTCTTCTTTATCGTTTCAGCACAGTTTATGAAAGGCCTAACAGCATCTTTTGATAGTTTTTGACGTATATACTGTGTTTTGTTGAGGCATGCTGTTTTCATTGTCAAAAAGTGGGTGGGTACGATATTGTTTTCTGAGTAAAATGTACTTTTTGCAGTTTGGCTCTAATGCAACCGGGCTTATAAATAAAAGTGCTTTACGAAGTGTTGTAGCTGTCATTGCGTATTTGTTGCCAATGAAGTTTTGAGGAGTGCATGTTATTATTGAAGTCAGCGTGAAACGGGGTTTCACTAGTCATTTTCAAAGCATTCGAAACGCCACATGCTGGTGATGTCTGCTGGTTAGAATGGTGTAAATGCAATGAAAAGTCAGCTCAAACGTGCATAAAAACACCTTTTACAACAGGCAAATGTTTTGTTGTGTAAATCTATTCATTGCAATTAAATAAGTACTGAGTAATATTAACTCACTCTCTGGTATTGTTGAGAGGTATAGTCAAAAATGACCAATCTTTTTCATGTCAAATAAATGTACTAAATTTTAGTTCAATAATATCTTTTATTTAATATTTTGTTTCATGGTACTAAATTACATTTTTGGAATAATCACTTTTTGAGCATAGACCTAAAAATGAAACGTCCAAATTAAACTGTTGTAAATCTGGCATGTTTTCAGTACAGACTTAACTTTGGTCTATTTTTTAAAGAAGCCACTTCACAGATTACTGCTAAAACAAAAAAAATAAAAAAGGTTATAGAAGTTTAAATTTCTTATTATGAAGAATGCACTCAAATTCTATTACATTTGAAATGTTTTAAATGTTAAATATATTTTCCAAAACATGTTTTAGTCTAAAATCACGTGACAATCAAAACCATAATCTAGGTTATTTGTGTTGCAAATTTGAGATTGATATCACAAAAAATGAGCTTTCAGTAAGATTTTGTTTGGGTGCAGTACCAAATATTTCCACTAGATAAAATTTGTTTCCTGTTGTTGAAAAAAATCTTATAAATTAATAAACATGCAGTATTAAATGATGTGGTATGCCTAATATTCTCAAAAGACTGTAACACCTGAATGAAATATAAATAATTTACACAAAACATCATATATAGGTTTAAGGTGCGAGTCTGAGGAGGCAAGAAAAATGTTTCCAAACTGACAACAGTACGCACTATCAACTAGGTTAACAGTGAAAATGTTATATCTCCATTGCCTAAGTTTTGAGGAGTGCATGTTATTATTGAAGTCAGCGTGAAACGGGGTTTCACTAGTCATTTTCAAAACTTTAAATCAGCTGAACCGATTGCTTCACCAAACGATTCACTTTTTCAAAGCATTCGAAACGCCACATGCTGGTGATGTCTGCTGGTTAGAATGGTGTAAATGCAATGAAAAGTCAGCTCAAACGTGCATAAAAACACCTTTTACAACAGGCAAATGTTTTGTTGTGTAAATCTATTCATTGCAATTAAATAAGTACTGAGTAATATTAACTCACTCTCTGGTACTGTTGAGAGGTATAGTCAAAAATGACCAATCTTTTTAATGTCAAATAAATGTACTAAATTTTAGTTCAATAATATCTTTTATTTAATATTTTGTTTCATGGTACTAAATTATATTTTTGGAATAATCACTTTTTGAGCATAGACCTAAAAATGAAACGTCCAAATTAAACTGTTGTAAATCTGGCATGTTTTCAGTACAGACTTAACTTTGGTCTATTTTTTAAAGAAGCCACTTCACAGATTACTGCTAAAACAAAAAAAAATAAAAAAGGTTATAGAAGTTTAAATTTCTTATTATGAAGAATGCACTCAAATTCTATTACATTTGAAATGTTTTAAATGTTAAATATATTTTCCAAAACATGTTTTAGTCTAAAATCACGTGACAATCAAAACCATAATTATGGGTTAAGGTTATTTGTGTTGCAAATTTGAGATTGATATCACAAAAAATGAGCTTTCAGTAAGATTTTGTTTGGGTGCAGTACCAAATATTTCCACTAGATAAAATTTGTTTCCTGTTGTTGAAAAAAATCTTATAAATTAATAAACATGCAGTATTAAATTATGTGGTATGCCTAATATTCTCAAAAGACTGTAACACCTGAATGAAATATAAATAATTTACACAAAACATCATACATAGGTTTAAGGTGCGAGTCTGAGGAGGCAAGAAAAATGTGTTTCCAAACAGACAACAGTACGCACTATCAACTAGGTTAACAGTGAAAATGTTATATCTCCATTGCCTGAGACTGCCCTGAAATGTAGCATGCATCGTCTCATATTGGTGCATACTGTCTGTATAATGCTTAATGTGTTACAAAACATACCCTATAACGCTCAAGCCCCAACAATTGCTGCTCAGATCTATATTTCATCTTCTTTTTCGTTCCCTGGTCTGAAGTCTGACACCCTATGGAACCCAATGGAGGAAAGTTATTAAATTTAGCACATCTGTCTAAACTTATCCCATACTAAATTTGGAGCGTCTCTCTCTGTAACTCAAACTCAACAAATTAAATTTGTTAATGGTAGTAGTCAGATTGAGATCTGTGCCAAACCTCCACTTTCCTATGTGCTTTTACTTTTGTTGTTTTGAGTTATGGATAATGTTTGCATGTTATAAGGGCTACAACAATCTGATGTTATTTTTTAGCCTATTTTATTGCACATCACAATGGACAGCAAGATAACATGATCTAAGGACAGCCACTGAGACATAAAATACCAGATAATATATATATAATCTGTGCAATTGTCTAAAATAATTCACAATCATACCCTTTTTAAAAGCAGAATTTTATATACAGTAGTAACACTTCATACCTACATTATTTTCAATTTTTGATGAAGAATAAAGAAAGACTTTTTCCCAGCACCGATCTACAAAAAGAGTAATATTAGATGATGTAGACTGGAACGGGCACATTTTTAAAGGTGGATTATACAAAACTTTACATAAGTTAACACAAATCACTTTGGCAACTTCTATAATGCAGCATGGGTTTTCAAAGGAATGGACATCGTACAGTCCTCATGAGCCTGGATCAGTGCAGTCGTTTTGTTCTGGGTTCAGGCTCCGAGTTTCAGCGATGAGACGCTTGACTCCCACCATCCACTGACTGACTTCAGCAACATGGTCCACCATCAGACCTCTGTGGATCTCATCAGCTGCATCCCAATTTTTTTTTTTCAGGTCTGAAACAAAGCACATCTAGCATGTTTTTCTCTCCCTGTTTGCCTAAGTCTCTGGATTACAGGTAATAATGTTGTAAATAATGTTCAGTTTCTTGCACAGACAGATTGTTTCGCTTCATAATACCACAAAATATATCATCAGGAGCCACGTGTATTTTTTTTTCTTGCCTGCATATGCTTTTTTGACTCTTACAGCACCGGCAGCTGAAAACTTGCATATTATAAAGCACCAAGGCCCACAGTTTCAGCTAAACATCTTTTTACTGTTCTTCTGAACAACAACAACAACAAAAATCACCTACATCTTATGCCGAGTTCACACTGCACGATTTTCAAAGACGTCGCATCACTATTGGTTTCACACTGAACGACTATCTAGGGTAGCATTCAGTTGCTGTTGTGTTCACATTGCACGATGGAACGACGACAGGAGGTTACACACTGCATGACTTTACAATAGGAAGAATCGCTGACAGCGCTGTCTGGTGCAGGGTTGCCAGGTTTTCGCATAAAAAACAACCGGCGGCAATCACGGATTTGGCAACACTGGACCGCAAACTACGTTTCATATAACTCCTCCCCGAACTTCCCGCTGCCCTGTATCTTGGTCTCTCATTGGCTGTAGGTCATCGCAGATGTAGTTTTCAGTCAGAACTCATTTCACACAGTGTGATTGTGAATCGCCGACAGCTCCAGATATTTAGCATGCCAAATATTTCATGGGCGTCGGCGAAGCGTCTGCGATTCCCTCAGTTCGCGTCTTTGATAATTCACACTGCGTGATTGTCATTCGCGTGAACGAACACCGATTTGCCTCCAGTTTCGGGCATTTGTCGGTGATTTCGCAAAACCTGTCGGTGAGTGAAAAATCGGGCTAAAATCGTGCAGTGTGAACTCGGCATTAGATGACAAGTATATTAACAGCAAATTTTCACTTTTGGTTGAACTATCCATTCAAGATCCTTCTAGGATCTGACAAGCAGTCAGGCAGGACAGATCGCTGGGAGTAACATGACTCTAAAATGCTTCTCATGTGACCAGTTCTTGAGAGTCTCAGATTTCCTGATTGCATACATCAGTCACGTCACTGTTACTTTGTGTTTTAAAACAAAAAGATGTGCTTCACTTGCATGTTGATATCAAGCAAACTGAAGAAGTTCCATAAAGTTTTGTGCATGTATATACATTTATGTGCTGATTAAAAATCAGATGGTTATTTTCTTTTAAAGCTGCATGTAACTGGCAAAACGTAAAGGGATCAGGAAATGCAGAATCAGATTATTATGTTTCTCAAGGTTAGTTTATAAAGTTTTCCATCCTCATTTTCACTCTCTGTGAAACACACTCGATTTAAAGGGGCTTTTCCTCTGATACTCAAGATGCTTAGTGGCAACACTTATATTCTGGTCTGATGCAAGATGTATAGTGACATACAAACTCCTTTTGCAATACTTTATGACAGAACCAGTGCGTGTGAAAGACACTCTGAAGACTGAAAAAGACTCACCTTGTGACAATCTATGCATCCTATGTTTAACCAAAGGAGAAAGTTTTCCACTTTTCCACATGCCCTCAAAAAGCTTCAGACGTCTTTCCACATCATCACAAATCTGTTTCTAAAAACAACAATGACACACATGGTACATACATATCCATTTCTCCACTCTGACATGTCAAAATAAATATAATGGCAAGAAAAGAAAAAAAGCTCTAATAACTATAATATTTTTTATAAGGTTTGGACCTATTACAAGGTGTGAGAATTTGTATGTTATGTGGTTTGATCCATTAGCTCCATTCAGGGGCCATTTACACGACAAAGTTTTCAGCCAAAAATGGGAAACTTTTTATGCATTTTGACTGTTCGTTTACACAACAACAGCGTTTTGGGGACCAAAAACACATATTTTTGAAAACGGGTTTCAAAGTGCAAGTTTTTGAAAACGTCATCGTTATTGTTTCCGTGTAAACACCCAATACGGGAATCTTTGAA